ATAACTAAAATAGGTATGCTAGGTCTTTTAATATGTAATTTCGTCCCAAATTTGAACTTAAAATGACCATAAAAATAAACTGAGCTTGTGTATTTTTTAGATTTTTTGGTAACAGAATTAACTACTTACGTGGAATCTTTTTTTAAATTTTCAATCCTTAGCTATAAAAACTGAACATTTTATAATTTATTAATTAGGTACGATGATTGATAATTTTCGAGATTTGAAAAATTCTGTCAAAATTCGATCTTTAAATGCTTATAAAAAAAATTGTGCCTATGTATTTTTAATATTTTTCAACTGATATTGTAACAATATATCAGGATCCTTGTATTACATTTTTACACTTTTTGGCCCAACAGATAAAACTTTATTAATATTCATAGAAAAAAAAACTAAAAACATTGAAAAATGAAAATATCCGTACACAGCTCAAAAAGAGTCAAAATATTTTCAAAATTGTATGGTGTATAGGAAATGCTAATATAAACATTCAGTGAAATTTTAAAATTTAAAATTTTAATTACAACAAAATAAGGAAATCGCTACATGAGAAATCGAGTGAATATCCAATGTTGTAAAAATTTGAATTTCAAACACTCATAAAAATTTAATTTGACTGTCCGGTAGAGATTTTTTTATTGATAAAGGTAGACAAACTTATGAGTAATCTTGTATTACACTATCAAATCTTAGATATAAAAAGAAAAATTTTTACGAATTCTTAATTCAAAATAATTTGCTAATTTTCGTGATTTTTCCATATTTGGTAAAATTTTGAACTTTAAATGCTTATAAAAAAAAACTGTGACTAAGGATTTTTAATGTTTTTCATCTGCCTTTGAAACAATATACTAGGAGCCTCCTATTAAATTTTTAAGCTTTTTAAACCAACAAATAAAATTGTATTGATATTTTTAGGAAAAATACTAAAAAAAAATGGAAAATGAAAATGTTTGTAAAGAGCTTAAAATAAGTCAAAATATTTTGAAAATTGTATGGTGTATAGAAAATGCTAATATAAACATTCAGTCAAAATTTCATGTATCTACGGTCATTTGTTTAAGAGTTGCATGAAAAACCAAAATCGAATTTCTTGAAAACAGATTTTCCGTAAAAATTCCCGTTTTTCCTTAATTGTTATGTTGTTTTTCCCGGTGCTTGTGAAAACTATTGGGAAATTTAAATTTTGACCTCCCCAATGCACCAACGATATTCACTTTCGACTCGAAAAAGATACTGAAGTTGAAAATCAAAGCATTATTTCGACTACTTATCGTGTACACAGACACAAAAATAAAAAATAAAATAAAAACACACATCATTGTAAAATCAATACATTCATCGTTCCACTCAGAATCTAAAAAATGTTAACTACATAATATAATAATTAGTAAAAATAATAATATTTTATAGTAGGTATATCATTTATTTTATTCATATAGGTACTTATTTAGTAAAAAAAGTTTAAGTTTTTAATTTTAATATGCTTAAAAACGAAAATTATATTTATGAAAAATTATTTTTACGACTAACGGTATGTAACAAACAGTCGATTACATCAAACAAATAAATCGTGGAAATGAAATACAGAATATACCAAGGAAATACCAATTTTTAATTGAAGAAATTAAATTCTAATATGTTTTTAATACATTAAGATAAATAATAAGTGTTGCGATAACCAACAAGCTTTTAAAATAATTACTATTTTAAACTGACATCATGCTCTACTACAATTTACAAGCATATATGACTTTTAAGAAATGCATACGGAAAACAGATTCATAAAAGTTTCAACACGTCATGATAATAATAACCAGGGCTAGGATTTATATGCAACAGCATGTCTTTTTTGAGACTTCTGATTATTTGTTTTGTCAGTAATGTCCACGAATCACCTCATGATAAGATAAATTATGGTATTTTTATTTTGCATATTTTTGCATATTTTGGATGAAATGTATATTAGTGCATATACAGGGTGATCCATTTAACGTAAGACATTTATTATACAAAAGTAGATAATAAAGTGTCTTATGTTAAATGGATCAACCTATATTGAATAAAATGAATATTATTGCATATTTAGGTAGCATTCTGGTAGTATATTTTCAATATATTTATTAGCAAATTGTTTTTTTTACCTATAGGTACATACAGTTTTATCGAAGCCAATATTTTTCAATTTTTGACCCTGAAATGTTATTGAAAATATGGGGTATCAATAAGTTATTCAATCTTAAGGTTAGTTATCAGTTATTAATTATCATTAATCATATTATAATGTTATATTATTGAACCTTCGGATACATTTAATTATTTGTATCACACAGGGCAAGATTTTAAAAACATACATATTAGGGAACTTAATTTTTTTATTTAAAATGTATTTATTTGCGACCCCACAGTATATCCGCCTATAGTATGACAAATTACTTAATAAGAATTCAAAGTTTGAAAAAACTGCATATCGCGACTACTATTATTATAAACAAAGTTCAGTTAAAAATATAATTCTTTGACAATTCTATAGTTGTATTAAAATGTAGGTAAATATTATATTACATAATAATATTATATTACATTATAATATTATATTACACTATTTTAAACCAGGTCAAAATCGGATATATGCATCTTATCCATGTTTCCTCACTTTATATAAAATACACTTAACTTGTTCTAACAAAAATATATGTATATTTTTTAAAACTTGTATAATAATCATTAATTTGAACTCGCTATCCAATATTCTAATCGACATTTTCGTAGAACGTTGACTGTTGAGCCATATGTAAATATGTTACATACGAATGTGCTGCAATCAGTTATAAGATTCACTGCAATAATATTTAATAATAATATTATCATATGAGTTACAGTGAATTTTAAATTTCCGATTGGATCTATGTGTCATGTGTGTATATTATAACAATGTCTTTTAATTTTTTCTTTAAATGTTATTATACCTTTTAAAAACTTACTTCGAGTATTTCAACTTTGAGAGAAGTTTCTGGTAACAAGTTGGATATGGTTACGTCTAAAAATATTAGTAACATAAATATTATTTTTTCCATACTTATATATTATATTACCTAATGAAAGGCAATGTTTGCGTGTGTGTGTGACGTTTGTTTGAGCGGTCCACAGCAAGGTCCATAGCAATCGAGATGCTTTTCTAAAATTTGGAACATGTAGCTAGTTAATCCTATACCCGATGTGCATCTCGATGCAAATTATTTGAATTTTGAATTTTAAAATGGGGCACATACCGGGATTTGTTGGTTTACGAAAATCGAATATTTTTTTGTTTTTTACAGTTTCGCTATTGGTTGTAGAAAATAAAATAGTTATTACAATTGTTGGTATATCATCATTTTAGACTTGTATTTAATGGTCAAAACCATGCAACCGACTGTGTTAAAAATCGGTGTAGTTTAAATTTAACGGAGTTTAAGAAGGGAAATCCACGGACATGTTTTTAGTTGCGGGCTACAGAGTGCAGGAACAGCTGTTGTATAATATGATATAATATACCTATGCGATGTTATTGTCGAAAATTTGTTCAACCCTTCTGTATTATGTACCAATAGTAAAATAAATATAAATTATAAATATCAAAATACATCTTTGGAAATGGAGCCGGACATATGCCGTCTTCGCTCAGAACCGTTTTTCGCATGCAATTATTTTTCATTGAATTAAAATTTAACACATTAAATTATAGTGATTAGTGACCTACTAAATAAAGATAAGTAGGTACACTCGGCACGTAAATACGTTATGCTATACGGAAGTGTGATTGTTTTTACTGAAAATTACTACAGTTAATGGCCATACATTTTACCACATTGAAAAAAGTTTGTTCAACTATCAATTCAACAAAACTCGAATCGAAATCAAACATTTAAAAATCTTGTTTACAATTTGCTTCACGCAATGACGATAATAATATTATAATATATAGGTATGTCAATAAACCGTGTTAGTTAAGTCGTTTCTTATGATAAATAATATGATAAAGGTAGGTAATATATATTTTTAAATCACCTAAAACATGAAATCGAAGATTTTCTAACAGTCATTCTCCATCTAAGTATTTTTTAAAACCAAAAATCTTCAATATCAAAATGTTGACAAAATAAAAATGATGCATTTGAGATAACTACTGTTATTAATTTTACCTCAGTGATAAAAATGTATTCCAAGATCAATCAGTTGCTCAAAAAATAATTTAAATATTAAAAGAATAAATCGCATTACTGAAAGAATAGTGCACAACTCAAAAAACGCAACCGTTGGTAATCAGCTACTTAGGTGTTAAAAAATACATTACAGGTCAAATTTTTATTATATTTTTATGTGGTTTTGAATAATAGATTAAATTAAATTTTTATTAAAATATATGCTGGGTACATTTTGTAAATTGATAATTATTATTAATGTCATTACAATACTTGAAAACATTTTGACTTATGTCACTGTTCGTGACTTAAATAATAATTTTTGTGTATATTGCCTGTTGAAAGAATAGTGACACAACTCAAAAATAAGTACCTATTAAATATAATATTATACCTATGTAAATTAAATTAATAAATTGTATTTGTAATAAACACATTGTAACTTGTATATTTTATAGTTTATTTATAACACAGTTCTTAATAGTTATAATATTATTTGTTATATTTAAAACATGGACCACAGTATTTGAGTATTATAATATTATGCCTTTAATGAAATGACGATCATCAAGCAGCAGAAATTCAACAACATTTTTTTTTTTTTATTATTATTATTTTAAGGCTTCGACAGCAACTGCTCATCAGGTCAGTGGCGACAATAACCCGGGTAGGTGATCGGACGGCGGACCCTAACTGCCGTTCACGCCCCGGACCCAACCACGACTGACTTCTACCGACAGCAAGTGCACGACCAAGAAGTGGAAGTGCGACGAGGAGATAGGCGACGGACCCGTCAAACGACATCGGGACGGTATGGCAAGACTTCACCTTGCCCACGCGACTGCCCAAGTACCAAACGCCCATAGACCCAGTGACCAGGTTGTTTCTGAAAATGACGTCCAACCACAAATGGAGAAGAAGGCCCGCCGACGAATGCACCAAACCTTAATAGCGCTACAGCAAGAGCCGATGTCCACTTTCCTCATCGTAACTAACCTGCGATTTAGCTTGTTGGACGGTGCTCAACCAGACGTCATACTGACCACTCGTTCCAAGGCCAGCCGACCTACGGCCACAGATTGAGGACCTTATCCACCGACAGATGCTCCAAAGCTTTTATGGCACCGCAGCGGTGGATGTTGCGTTCCTCATCATAACGTTCTTATGATATTAGTTTCTAAAACGTTTATTTACAATGACGTGCATTATATACCTTATAAATATAAATATAATAATATATACTACCTATGAATAGGTATATATGCAAGTGTTATTTTACATAGTTTTAGATATTATACACAAACAGAAGTAAAAAGTGTTTGAAAACTTTTTTGTACTTGCTGTTTGCAATAGTTATATAAAAAAATGTATCTTGCGCAAGACCGGTCCAATATAACTATACAGTAAATTACGAACTCGTTAATCCGTAGCATTGTGGCACAGTTTATCGGCTGGCAGTGGAACGAGTGGTCAGTACGACGTCTGGTTGAGCACCGACCAACAAGCTAAATCGCAGGTTAGTTACGATGAGGAACGTGACATCGGCTCTTGCTGCCGCGCCTAGTAAGGTTTGGTGCATTTGTCGGCCGGCCTTCTTCTCATCTATCTTTGGACGTCATTTTCAGAAATAATTGGTTGGTACTTGGGCAGTCTCGTGGGCAAGGTGAAGTCTTGCCATACGGTCCCGATGCTATTTGACGGGTCCGTCGCCGGTTCGTCCTCTATATCCTCGTCGCACTTCCACTTCTTGGTCGTGCACTTGCTGTCGGTGGAAGTTGGTTGTGGTTGGGTTCGGGTCCGGGGCGTGAACGGCACTAACGGCGTCCTTTTAAAGTTAGGGTCCGCCGTCTGATCACCTACCCGGGTTATTGTCGCCACTGACCTCCTGGTACCACAGCTGGTTGACGAAGATCGGCCAATCACGGCCGACTGACCTTTGTCACCAGCTTTACCATTGATGTGTTTGGGACCCGTGCTCTTTACCGTGGCTGCCTCGACAGGCCGATCATCATGTCCGGTCACCTTAATCAACCATTTTCTTTTTTCTCTTTTGCCCTCAAACCCATTCACATTCGAACGTTTTGATTTCTCCCCCGTAATAACTGTTGTCATAGTCATGCCCAATGTTTTTCCAGTGAATCTCGGCGGTTGATTCTTCTTCAGTTGTTTTACCAGCTGTAATGGATCATCCTGCTCGGCTGTGTCTGTTTAATATTTCAAAAACCATTATAAACTTAACAAAATTATATATGTAATTTTAAGACGGTAATAACTTATAAACATTAAACAATCTGAAATAGTGATTTCTCGATAATAATATGAACTATTCATTTGTATTTTGTACGACCACTTTGCTCTTTTATAAGAATAATGATCGAAAAATATTTGATACACTTACGCTGGTTTTTAACACCAAAATACACTGTTTCACTGGGTCACTAAACACTTAACAAATCAATAGTGAACCAAAGGTCCATTAAACATGATTTAGTGGCCCATGACTGGTTCATTACATTTTATTAATACATTTTACATGCAACCCGGTACCTATTAGGGTTTGATAATTAACAATTCATCAATGTCAGATAAAAAAAGTATTTTTTTTACTTTGTTCGTTGTAATTATAATTATTATAGAGTATGACGAAATCGGTATTATCTCGAAAGCGTTTGATTGTCATAATATACTCGTAACTATATTTTATACCTACATTTCATATAAACTTAAAAGGATACTTTGATCTTTCGGATCTGCGATTTATCGAAATAAATTAAATCGTGCCTAATTATTTTCAAATTCTATTACAAATTAATGAAAGAAGTTTGAAAGGAAGTAATAATGAGATGGTCTAAAAATAATGTACTAATGATGAACACATACTTTCTGACTGTTGCAATCCCTGGACACTCTTTTCATCAGCATCATTTGACCTTATGTTGGTATATTCACGAAATTTTCTGAAGTCAGTTATCAAACCACCTTCAGTCTTCATGACAGTGTTAAGGAATGCATAGAAAAAAATTACCAATCCCAATTTACGAAACATTATAGGTAATTGTTGTTTAACACAAGTGTAAACTCGGAAAATATATTATTATGACTTACAATGCATAAAATCGATTAAGCAACTATTTATTAATAATCAATAATCATTATTGGTTAGTGGTTACCATGGAAATCCATATGACAGTTTGCACAGTGCACATGGTTTAAAGCAGAGCGGCGCTGTATACTGTAGTAATTATGAATTAGTATTTCAAAGACCTTTTGACAATTATTAGTGTATTTTAAATATTTAAGTATTTATTAATTATTTAATTTAAATATTTATCAATAAATGTTTGTACCTATACATTTGTGATAAACTTATAAATATTTATTTTTTTTTTATTGAATTTTTGCAAGGAAACTTGGACTATTAGCTTTTTTTTTACGCACTGCGCCACACCAAGCCACACAAATATTTTTATAATATACAAAAAAGTACTTTTACAGTAGTTATATTTATATTCAAATACTTTACAGACAGTACTCGAATACGTATTTAAAAAAGGTGGGTAAGTGGATGTCGCTCTGCTGTACAGTAGGTTACAAGTGGGTCACTGTATAATGGATGATATTAAATTTGAATTCAATGATACAATATCATTGTATAAGAAAAACGATTCTGAGCGGAAACGGTATGTCAGTCTAGGTTTAAGATATATTATATACATATCTATGGTATTAAAAAAAATTGACCTATAATAAATTCCAAATTAATCATATCACAATATCCATTAGGTACATATAACACGTTATACATCAATAACAAACCCTGATGGCTGATACTATCATAGATATATAATATAGTGTACTTTAGAAGTTTCAAGTACCCACGAATAGTATTATACACTCACAACATAATAACTAAAATAGGTATGTTAAGTTTTTTAATATGTAATTTCGTCCCAAATTTGAACTTAAAATGTCTGTAAAAAATAACTGTGCTCATATATTTTTTTAGATTTTTTGGCTACAGTATGAACTATTTATGAAAATCTTTTTTTTAAATTTTCAATCCTTAGCTATAAAAACTGAACATTTTATAATTTATTAATTACGATGATTGATAATTTTCGAGATTTTGATAAATTTTGTCAAAATGCGATCTTTAAATGCTTATAAAAAAAAATTGTGACTATGTATTTTTAATATTTTTCAATTGCTATTGTAACAATATATCAGGAGCCTTGTATTAATTTTTTACACTTTTTGGCCCAACAGATAAAACTGTATTGATATTTATAGAAAAAAGAAACTAAAAAAATCGAAAACTGAAAATGTCAGTAAACGGCTCAAAAAGAGTCAATTTATTTTCAAAATTGTATGGTGTATAGGAAATGCTAATATAAACATTCAGTGAAATTGTCATGTATCTACAGTAATTCGTTTTTGAATTACAACAAAATAAGGAAATCGCCACATGAGAAATCAAGTGAATATCCAATGTTGTAAAAATTTGAATTTCAAACGCTCATAAAAATTTAATTTGACTTTCTTATAGAATTTTTTTTTTGATAAATGTAGGAAATCTTATAAGGAATTTTGTATTAAAAATCTGTTACAAATTTTACGAATTTATAACTCAAAATAATTTGCAAACTTTCGTCATTTTAACGTAGGTATTTTGTCAATATTTGAACTTTAAATGCTTATAGAAAAAAATTGTGACTGGATTTTTAATTTTTTTCATCTGCCTTTGAAACAATATATAGGAGCTTTTTATTACATTTTCAAGCTTTTAACCAACAAATAAAATTTTATTGATATTTATAGAAAAAAAAACTGAAAATGTAAGTAAACATGTTCAAAGCAGCTCAAAGTAAGTCAAAATGTTATGGTGTATAGAAAATACTAACATTCGGTCAAAATTTCGTGTACCTATATAGTCCTATTTATTTTGGAGTTGCTTCAAAAACCAAAATCGATTTTCTCGAAAACAGATTTTGCGTAAAATTTCCCCAATTTACATAATTTTTCTTTTGTTTTTCTCGGCACTTTTGAAAACCACCAGGACATTTTTATTTTTGACCCCCCCAAAGTACCAACTAGATTAACTTTCCTATAAGAAAAGTGAATCTAGTTGAAGAAAATCTAAGTATTTACTATTTTTACTGTCCTAAAATTTGATGACAGATGCAAAAATAAAAAATTAAATTAAAATTTAAAAATTAAAAAAAAACACATCATTGTAAAATCAATAAATTCATCACTTCGCTCAGAATCTAAAATGTAATAAGATCAAACTTCAAGTTCGAGTTAGAACAGTCTGAACAGGTTAACCTCATCTGACTAACTCTAAACTGTTATAACTTTAATTATAGGTACCTATTATATATTTTACTAATTTATGGGTGAAACTATACAAATTTTGAAATGTGAGTAAAATGATGAAAATTTGTTTTTTGGTGGGGGGTTACATTCGCGGTGCAGGGCCGGTTTGATCCATATTTCCCGAGCCGAAAAAATTCGCCAATCCGCCCCTGATTTGTGTCATCAGTTTGTTTACTAAGTTTGTAATGAAACTATAAAATACTATACCCAATATGTTATGGCTATGTATAAATATATGTATAATATACACCTTGCCCCCCCCCCCCGGTGAAAATGTCTGCGGTCGCCCTTGATCGATATCAAAACGTTTTGTAACGATGGCCGTCTGATTTCATTAAATATTGGACGATTTGGAAGACATTCTAGATAACAAATTACTAAATTCTTTGTGGAAAACTAAAAAATATAAAAAAAATGTACAAATAAATACTGTAAAAATTCAAATAAGAAAATAAAAATATAGTAATTTAGACATACAACACATAGGTACAACTATACAAATTAATACACTTTTATAAATTGACTGAAAGAAAGAAAAAACAAGGATAAGGTAAAACGGCTTGAAAGTTGTGACATCATTTTATAGCTATTTCATTGAACTATAGATATCATTTATGTTAAAATAGTCTGCCAAATAATTGAACTTAGCTTGGAGACTTAAGTTAAAAATTTAAAAAATGCCTACTATAATCAATAATAAGTACATAACAATAATACAGTCTACTATCAATGAAATAGGTAGGTAGTGTATTACTAATCAAGTGAATTAAAGTAAACAAGCTCCGTTCAATTATCTAGCAGACTATTTTAACATAAATTATATAATATATAGTTCAATGACTTAGCTATAAAATGATAACACAACTTTTAGAGCTGTTTTTTTTTTTTGTACTTATCGTTTTTTACACGGAGTTTGGCGGATTGTGTTTGTTGAGATAATCTTTTATCTTTTGTCAAAATAAGATACATGATACTTCTATAAAACGTATCATAAAGCATGATACATGATACCTACCTGATACTTTAAAACTATGTACCACGATTCAAGACACAAATTGTATCTTTGATACACGTAATTTCTAATTTTGATACCTAACTACAGGGTCAGCGCTGCTCAATATTTAAAATTTCAATAATAGAATTATGTTAACGCGGCGTATTAGATAGGCAATTCAGGTACCCCATCTTCACTTTTGGTGGGTTTTTCAATAATATTATCAGTTAATATTTGGTCTTATGATGTACGAATACAATTTTTCACACAACAGGGCTTAGTCATGATTTTTTTAAAAATGATGAAAATCATTTTAAGTTGCTTCATGAAGAATGTCCAGTGCTTAATGAGAGCTGTTATAATAATTTTTGAATTAAAACAAAATTGTTAATTTACTGGTAAAAATGTTGATGAATTTTGTCAAAATTCTAATTTTAGAAACTCACGAACATTTATTGTAGATTTACGCACACACATACTTGTAAAATCAAAACATCTAGGATTTTGGTCTCTTTGTATTTTGATATTTTCTAAATAATATTTAAACATAATATAATATGATTTATTGGTTTTAGAGAAAATGGATTTCAGAAAAAATACAGTAAACAAATGTCGTAATGAAAGTATAAATGGTAAGTAATCGGTAATTAATTTATGTTTTGAAATTACCTATGTAAATACTTTATAATTTATTTATGTTCTTTTGTACAATATAGGTAGATTATTTTGGAAAGCAATAGTTGAACTTGTACCTTCCACGCCTTCTGTAACTCAGCTTCTTAATATCTATTTAAAATATGTACATTTAGATATGTTTATATGCTCTTCGATTATGGGATGGATCTATATCACTGATGATGAAGCAAGGCTTTTACTAAATGTCATTAATGAAGAACATAGTAATTTTACATTTGGGAAAGAGAGGTTCTTAGCAGGAGAAGATTATATTGTCAGTTTAAAAGATGTTTATGAATTTTATACATTCATAAATGTATGTTATAATAGATTACTATGCATAAATAAAAAAGGTCAAGATGAAAAGTGCGGTTTTATACAAATTAATAACTTTGAATCTATTGTTCCATATTGTATTATTGATAACCAAAAATATTTACCACTATTCTACTTTAAAAAGGAAAAACAACACCTAATAGATCGAGCTATAAAAATAAAAGATTGGAACTTAGCCTATCTCAAGTTCTGTTGGAAAGTGCAGGGTATCAGAGATGAATTGTTTGCTGGTAGCTATTGCACAATGGTCAGTGTTGATATTATCAAAAAATATTTTCCACCAGAAACACATTTTGAGGATTTTTGGCCACATGAAACGCATAATTCACATCTCCCTATTAATCAGAATTCATCCACCCATGTCAACCTGCAAGGTGCACTCCCTCAAGCTCCCCCTCAAGCAGAACCTGCTGAATTTACTGAAGATCCGGTAACCGGCTGCGGTTGTAGTGATGAAGAAATGGAGCTGACGGTAATCGCGGTTAGTCCTAGACGACGCCGCTCATTGTGGAGCCGAACGAAGAGATTTTTCCGGCGAATGTCTTGTTGCGGTGCTTTGATATACCTACCACACAAATAAAGTTATACTCGTCGGCTTCTTGCCATACCTCATTATCGGTAAAAATGAAATTGTTGATAAATGATGTTTTAAATAATTGAAAAGTTTCTCTAAGATTTTGTTTATCTTTTTTTCCTATAGGTAATACAAAAGCATAATATTATAATTTTTTTGTTGTTTTATATCATATAAACAGTTTAATTAATTCTTATATCTTACTATAAAACAATACAGTACCTAATAATGAATATTGAAAAAGCTAAAAAACATGGTTTATATAGATTTCGATGTTAGTGCCTCTACACAAATTATAGAGCTCAAATTTATACACTAGAAAGCGCTTTAAAAAAAAACGAGTTTTAGCAGTAAGCCGACGAATTATTATCTTTAATAGTGATTTAAGTCGTTATAAATAGAATTAAAAACATTCGCCCATCAACCAATGTCACCAGTGTCCAACTGCAAGCCACCTGTAAACCAGTTCGCCCCGCACCCCTGTGCACGGCCCTTCAACACGTCAAGACATATCCATGCCACCCTCGTACACTGAAAATAATAGTTCAAAAAAGTTCGTTAAATTAATAATAATTGTCATTAAAAGGTCTCCGATTAAGCTCTTTATTGATTGAATGGATGAGTGTTTGTCGTATACATATTTCAATATTTAATGTACACAATATGAAGTCAAGTTAATTTAACTTTAAGTTACCTAATGTATTGTATTTAATTTTATCAACAACTTATTTTATAAATCATAAAATATATAATTATTGGTATACATCATATGAGGTTTGATACCTACATCTAGGTAATAATGTAAGCCCTTAGTGGTTATTAAATTGATTAATGCAATATATCTTATTTTAACCAATTCAGGTGTTATTGCATTATACGGTTTATTATATATCATCGGTGGATGTAAATCCGGAACATTTTATGATTCTGTAGAATTGTACAGCCCCATGTGGCGTATCTACGGGAGTATGGGGGTCATATCCCCCCCCACCGGGAGACCAAATGTTGTGCACAATACAACATGTATATAAAAATATAAATATAATATGTATACCTATACTGAATGTCTATTAAAAATTGTATATCCCCCCTTGGAAAAATCCTAGATACGCTACCGCGGCATCACCAATACTGCAATACCTGGTCCATGTCAGAATCGTCAACGAATGTAGCATGATATTATGCAGAAGAAGAAGCCATTGATAGGCCACTTCATTTTAAAACTTGTTATGTACAAATGTACAATACTTGTACATGATTTTTAGATTCTGAGTGGAACGATGAATGTATTGATTTTACAATGATGTGTTTATTTTTTTTATATTTTTTTTTGTATCTGTGTACACCATATAAGTAGTCGAAATAATGCTTCGATTTTCAATTTCAGTATATTGTTCGATTGGGAAGTGAATATCGTTGGTCCATTGGGGAAGTCAAAATTTAAAATTCCCAGTAATTTTCAAAAGCGCCAAGACAAACAAAAGAAAAATTAAGGAAAATCGGACATTTTTACGCAAAATCGATTTTAGTTTTTGGTGTAAGTTTAAAACAAATGACCGTAGATATATGACATTTTCACTTATTGTTTATATTTGAATTTTCTACACACGTTAAGATTTTCAAAATATTATGATTTATTTTGAACTGCTTAGGAACATTTTCAGTTTCCAATTTTATTAGTTTTTTTTTCTATGAATGTCAATAAAACTTTCTTTGTTGAGTAAAAATACTTGAAAATTTAATAAAAGACTCCTACTATATTGTTACACTGACATTTGAAAAATATAAAAAATCCTTAGCCACCGTTTTTTGTTATAAGCATTTAAAGTTCAAATATTGACAAAATACGTAAAAATGACGAAAATTTGCAAATTATTTCGAGTTAGAATTCATAACAATTTTTCTTTTCAAATCTAAGATATGAAAATGTAATAAAAGATTCCTCATAAGTTTTTCTACCTTTATCAAAAAAAAAATGTCTACAAGAAACCCAAATAAAATTTTTATGAGCGTTTGAAATTCATATGTTTACAACATTATTGATATTCACTCGATGTAACGATTTTCTTATTTTGTTGTTATTAAAAAACGAATGACTGAAGATACTTGAAAATATCACTGAATGTTTATATTAGCATTTTCTATACACCATACAATTTTGAAAATATTTTAACTCTTTTTGAGCTATTTACTGACATTTTCAGTTTTCAATTTTTTTTATAAATATCATTAACATTTTATTAGTTGTGTAAGAAGAGTGAAAATTTAATGCAAAGCTCCTGATATATTGTTACAATAGCAGTTGAAAAATATAAAAAATATATAGGCACAATTTTTTTTTATAAGCATTTAAAGTTCAAATTCAAATTTTGACAAAATGTATCACATTTAAAATTTAATAATAATTTTGTAGTTAAAAATGTATAAAATGTTCAACTTTTATAGCTAAGAATTGAACATTGAAAACAAGATTCCACGTAAATAGGTTATATATAAATTATTTTATTCACCTTAGTATCGTCAAATATACTTCTTAATATCATAGGCTGACTAACCGTATTCGCTCAGAATCGTTTTTTTATATGATATTGATATCATTGAATTCAAATTTAATACTATCCATTATACAGTGACCCACTTGTAACCTACTTTACAGCAGAGCACCTTTTTTTCTGAAGTTATAACATAAAAATATAAATATTATTTATATATTGTATCATAACAAATTAATTGAGTTCTATTCTTTGTTTTATTAAAAGGTAGTTGTACTACTTGTACTATATATTAAGTGACCAAAAATAAATTAAGAAAGGTTTAAAATGTATGAAAAAGTTTATAGTTTTTTCATTTTTGTAGAAAAGTTTAAAACACAATACGCTTGTTTTTTCTCTTTGTTTTCAAGATCGAAGTCAACATGTTAGTACAGTTTGTTTAGCAATCATTTGATTTAAAATACACATTTTATTATAATATATAACGACTTACGACTATTATAGTATTATCCAGAAATACTTTTCTGAATTATATCTTGTTTTATCTCGTATAAAATGTTTGTATGTTTTTAATAAATAATACTTACTAGGTATACTATTATATTTAACAAGTACCTACCTATATGTATTGATTTAAAAAGTAAATTCATATTATATGGATATATAAATATATATATATATATATAATATATATATTAGTGTACAATCCAGGGACAGAAACCGGTTTAACCGGTTTTCTGAAAAACCGGTTAAAACCGCGGTTTTTGCATTTTTGAACACCGTAACCGAAACCGAAACCAAGAGCTTTAAAACCTCGGTTAAAAAACCAGAACCGTAACCTAAGAATTTAAAAAACCATTTATAATACCCAGACCGTAACCAAAAAATTTTAAAACCGTTCTTAAAACCGTTCTTCAAAACCGATTAACATTTAAAACTAATATCGGTTTCTTAGAATTTTCTAAGATTGTTTAAATTTTTATTTTTATTAATTCTAGTTAAAACAAGTATTTTTCTACGAAGAGAATATTATATTTGAATTAATATGTATGAAAAATTCCCGATGCGATAATACGATATTACGAATATTATTCTATTTATACTACCTACCTATATTTTATTACTAGATTTGTTGATTCTAAATTAAAATACAAATGTCACAATTGTTATTTTTATCGCCCCTATGCGTGGCTATGCACATCTGTATTGTAAATTGTTATTATTTGAAGAATTCGTCTATATTATTATTTAATTAGAATTGTATTTTCGTATTCGACTGATCCGCGTCCGTCCCGCTGTCCCGCAGACCGCAGTTATCATTAATCGCATGAGACCATTTTAAGGAAGCTATGGTTTAAATTTTAAGTTCCTACCACTATGGAAAGTGCATTAAAACAGTTGTATTTTTTACGTAGCACATATTTTTTTTATAATCCCCCCCTCCCAGACATAAGGCATATTATATAATTTATATTGAAAAGAAAGAAGATATTATGTACTACATAATATAATATAATATCTAATATATAGTGTACATGTATTTAGTATTTCTTACTGAGTGTCTTAACTACTGCAACATACAAAAATATATTGTATTTGTGTGCATGTAATATGTTATTAGGTAGGTACTTATTAATTATTATTTATTTCCTATAGGCAATTGGTGATACAAATTACCAATGTTATTAAAAATATATGTATAATACAATAATATACCTTTATTGAGTATGTATATATAATATTTATATATATATTCCTAACAATCCCTTGATCAGAACCCAATATATCTGTATCCTTAGACAGTGCCACCCCTGAGGCTCAGGCCCTTTCCCCTTAATAGTTAATAGATAATACAAATCAGGTCTATAGATATTACTGGAAGGGGCGAAGTAGTGTGACTTATTGGGAAGAAGTACTGCGACCAACGTCCAACAACCTCCATCGACTCTCGATACCATTGAAAAAAAAAATTATTACTGGAAACTAAAAACCGTAACCGAAAACTTTTGAAAACCGTGGTTTTTGAAACCGATAAATTTAAAAAACCCTTTTTTGAAACCGAAACCAAAACCGAAAAATTTAAAAAACCGATCTTTAAACCTAAACCAAAACCAGACAATTTTATAAACCGTTCTCAAAACCGAAACCGAAACCGTTAAAATTTGTAACGGTTTCTGTCCCTGGTACAATCATAGGCGGCACTTGGTAGAAACTTCTGTGGGTGCAAACGTTTATGGTAATAACATTCACAAAGCCATAGGGAAGTTGCCCCCCAGTACCCCCTAATATATAACTATTGCTACAACAAATGTAGTTAAAAAAATGTATTTATTAATAACTATTCCAATTGGGTCCCTGTATTTCAAATATGTACATGAATATGACAAAATATTATTAAAAAACCACTTTTTATTTTGACATAAATAAAAATTAAAAAAAAAAAATTAACTGTGTGTAACATAATTACCAGGTATTTGTCAACTTCACTACTTCAGTGTCAAACGACAACCTCTTATTGAAGCCTCAGCAACAAACTTGTCAATTATATTATCAAAATCTATAGGGTATTCTTTTTGTATATATGTATAAGATTGCTAAACTGCTCAATAGCTCTTGACTCATTGTGACTCTTAAGTATGTTTTTAATGTCCGTAGAGCTGAGAAACTGCGTTCATTAGATGCAGTATTTGTAGGAATAGTTAAAAAAATCTTTAATATATTTGTATAATTTGGGAATCCTGTCTGAATATCTTTAGATCTAATATAATTTATCTTTTTTATAATTGTATCACATTCATGATTTATAAATAATCTATTTACTATTTTTATCTCACTTGATAAATCATTTGATTCTATTTTGTATGATTAGTAGGGTTTTTATTAAATAAGACATTATTCATAGAATTCAACAAACTTAAATAATTTTTTTTTAATTTACTCTTCATGCACATCATTACTGTATCTATAATTCCAAAAAATACATTTATACGAAAATGATCTTGAACAGTCTGTATAGTCAGGGCCGGATTTAGGAATGTGGGGGCCCTGGGCCCACCTTTAGAAGTAGATATTTTTTTCGATTAAGTACATAATATATTTAATAACCAGAATTTTGGTTATGAAAAAACAATGATTTATCGCCTGGTCGGACAGTCAGTTATATTCGACGGACACTTAATTTTTTTACAAATTTTTCAAACACAAATAAAATTTGAAAACAAATTTAAAAAATATATTCCAACAATTATTAGATAAACTTCTCGTGTTTAATTTGGTATAAAAACTATGTTTCTACGACTTACGAGGCCTGAGTACTATTGGAACTACGAAAACATGTTTCTACGATCTATTTTTTTCTACCTACAGTGACTTAACTACTATCGTACGTGCAGGAACAAGTTGTTATTAAACTATTATATTATAGATTATTAAATTATAACTAGGTTTTTATCGAGGTGATTTTGAAAATCTATTTTTCCAGCTGTGCTATCAATAAATATAAAAACGATATTTTTTATTTATATTTTTAATCGTGACAC